TCATGTGAAAACGCTCTATAGTAATTGGGTTTCCTGTGAAAAAATACAATACTTTTTCTTTATTTTACACAGCACTTATGAGCTTGACAGCTTAAATAATTTATTTTATCACTTTCTCAATGTAAAATGCCATTTAAAACAGGCAACCACATGCAAAATTAGCGCGGAGATGTGGTCTTGAAGTAACACCAGAATTCTACTAAGCTAACGAATTCATCGTCGTTGACTGTATGTCAGTGTATACATAGTTTTTAACTCATGTTAACTTACACTAAACGTTTCCAAAACCAGTAGTAAAACTAAAGCTATTTCGCAGGACGATCACAGAATTTCTTCAAGCTTTCTATTCCCTTCGACTACGAAACATTCGAGTGTTTCTCTTTCATTTCTTTTTAAGTTGCTGCTCGCGAGCCGCGCACTGGAGCGAAGTTAATAATTTTTCAGAGGTGTGCACAGTTTTTCAAATCAGCCCAACCCCATCAATCAAATTGTTGTCAAGTGGGGATTTAATTTGATTTTCATTTCTCTTGGTCTCGTGATCGTGTTCCTCATGCAAGCATGCGCAGCAGCTCAAGTTTAAGCCGAGAGTTACATGGGCAATTGCATTGTCCTCAATAAACCTTCTGCAATTTCCTGCGGTTATTTAGCATAATTAACGCTCACAAAGTTAATCTCTGCGGGTCAGGTCTTTTCTTGGAATTTACGTCCGCTGGTGATCTTGTTATTAAGAAATTCTACACGAACTAAATCTGGTGTAAAGCCTTCTCAGTGTACCATTTTCTCCTTTTTAAAACTTTTAAGTAGAGAGCGAGGGGTTATCTTTAGTTTTCTCAGAGTCACGCGCGGCGATTGAAAAAGAAAAATTATGCCCTCTATCTACTGTGTCTCAAAAGAAAAACAAAAGTCCGATCGCAGTCTAATATTTGACTGGCTGAACCGCCCAGGTTAGCTTAGCTAGTAGCTGCTAGTGTGCGGAGGCGGTCCATTATGTTGTTACTTATATAGAGCCTGTTTACATGGAGGTGGGGGACCCCAGATGAATGAGGCAACATGCAGCGGGTCACCCCAACTATCATGAAAATGTGTATATGGACAGGCTGCAGGTTACCCCTCCGAAACGGGTTACCTCACCTACCTGGGGTTCCCCATCTCCATGAAAACAGGCCCGAAGAAGAAATAGCGATAAGATCGGACTGCAGAGGGACGATTTTCGTTATAAAGGCGTTTAGTTGACTGACTTGTGCACTTGAATAATTTAGAGTTTGAGCGGGAGAAAAAGGGCAAAAACTCCAACTTCCTCTGATCAGGTACGAAATGATTCCTTGTCTAACGAGACACTATTATTCAAAATTGTGTGCTCCTCTCGTCTTCTGGCTTGGGCCTAACAATAACCTCGGGTATGCCGACAGTTTGCGATTGTGGACGATAGTTTCCGACTACTTTGGGACTATTGTTGTTTCTGTTATCCGGTTCTATCCTGACCTCGGTCCCAGGTTGTCTCTCTTCGATGATCTCTTCCTCCACGGCGCGGTTTACCTGAAATATAAAAGATCCAGGTTATGGGATCATTAAGGTCAACTGAACGAAAATCGCTCTTTCTTTGGGACTAAGGAAACTGTCAGTAAAGAGATGTGTTCGTGAGGAACTGTGACCCGACTGCAGTTTAAACGATTGAACTTTTCCACAATTGCCCCCTTGGGATGATGAGATGATGAGACAACACGTATGAAGCGTATTCTATATCTTTCTCTTTAAAAGTGCATTTTTGAAATAACTGCGGCTCGTGTCCCACTTTGTTTTGCTCTTACCCCATTTTGATGTCATCTGTGATCTATAGAGTGTTTTCACATGACGTCTCGGCGGCCATATTGGTGTCCCAAAACAATGAAACGGCGGCCATGTTGGTGTCCTAAACCAATCCTCTGGGGGTTGAACTCTTTTCTTATGCAAACGCTTTCTTTTGTTTCAATAAATTTGCGTAGATGCAGGCCACGTGAGTGAAAACACTATTAGTAGTGAAGAGACGCTCGGCAACATGAAAAATATATCCGTCAAATACACCATGGCAATGACGGGATGGCGGTAACGCAATTTATTTAACTCGATCTTGTGGTTAGCGATTTTCCAAGAAACTTCAACCGAAATGAACGTCAGAAACTGTCTTTTTTATTGTAGCAAACAAATCAACAACAATTTTTCACGGTCTATACTCTTATCGACCATAAAAATGACGTCAAAATGTTCAAACCTTTGCAGTCTAACCGCTCGCACTCAACTTGAATTTTGAACTTTTGAACTTTGTTGCTATGGTCGATAAGAGTACAGCAATCTTGTCGATTTGTTTAGCTTATTGTATCGCTGCGTTGTTTGAACTTCAGAAAAGTGCTCATCTCACAACTGTTGGTACATACCCGAGCACCATGGTGACTATTCCTTGTTCTTGACCTCTCTGCCAGGTCTGCCGCACGCGCTTTCTTAAGTCTTCGGTTTCCACGCCACAGAAAAAACGCGATAGAACTGACGAGAACCATGGTGATAGATGAGGCCAAGATGATCGCCCAGGTTTCTTCCTTTGTTAGCTTTCCCTCGAGATCAGGGTCTTCTGCAAAAATTAATACTAAAAATAAATAAATAAATAAATAAAATGATAATGATGATGATGATGATGATGATGATTGTAATGTGCTTTTGAAAAAAACTAAATAAGTCTACGCGGCGTAAAAGAAACCTCTTCAAACACAATGTGCTATGATACCTTAAAATAATGTACTAGTCATGGAGGTATGTATGGTCCGCCTTAATTTGGAAAAATAAGCACAACGTCAAAACAGTGAATCCTGTAACGCGGATTTTTGCCCGGTTCGTAGGCTAGTTTTGTCTTGAATGTACTGTGAAGATTATGTGATGAGATTTAAAAAGAATTCTGTCGAGCCGTTCTCGTAGAGATATACAGAGAAGCGCTAAAGCTAAAATTTAGAAAAAAGTTGCACTCAGACGGGTGTTGAGATAACAGGTTAGTTTTCAGGATCAAAAGAAATAAAATACACCAAAGTTTCCAAGCAGCGAAATATGACATTAAGCAGCGTTCTGACGTTACTTGAGATTAATCTGAGTTATTATTCATTCAAAATATTTCTCTGTTTCTGAAGTGTGTAGAGCGACTGTGAATGCATATGAGTGATTTGTTTTGCCCTATTTTGTTTTAATTGTTTAAGTTCTTACTTCCAATAAAAAAGGTTTCCTGGGTTGCGTTAGAATCGGCGCTTGAAAAACATTCGTATTTTCCTCGCAAATCTTCGCTCGTCACCGCAATGAGTAAATGGCTTTCCCAAGATCCTGGCTTTTTCAGTGCGGACAGGATGGCGACCCCAAGATCCTCCTCTTTCAAATCTTCTCCCTCTCTTTTCCATCTGACGGTATCCTGTCCAAGTGCTGTGCACGTGAAGTGAGCAATGTCGTTGTGTTTGGTATTTACAGTTGTTGCATTGGGCGGTACTTGCAAAAGAAATGAGAGAATTAGTGTTGTACTGATGTAAACAAAAGCTCACGTAAACTGGGGAACTGGCTACACAGTAATTCAAGCCCTAGGCTCGGGACTGGGAGAGAGAGGGAGAAGTTTGTAGGCTCCGCCCCAAGGTCCAAACCGTTATTAGAGACCTTTAGATTCTGAGACGAGAACGACTACGAGTATAAGAGATTTTCTAAATGGTAAGTAGTGCTCGCGCTTGAACCAGCGTCATTTTGGCGGGAAAACGTAGTGAGAGTGTCGTAGTGGCGCGAATAAGTTATCAAATGTTAGAAGTACAATGAAAAATTCCGGGGTGTCTATTTTTTGACAATACACGAAAAACCTTTAAATCAAATCTGGTACTCGTAGTCGTTCCCGACCTCGAATCTAAAAGTCTGTATTACCGAGTTTATTTACATTTTCTACAGAAAAGATACCCCTATCGCCTACCTTCCATTGACAAATAGTACTCATTTTACGTATCTACAAAAGAACACTGTGTTCTCTTCATCTGCTGTAACTTGGCAGTCTTTTTAATATGAATAAATTGCTCAAAAGATTCTTGTACGTTCCACAGCAATGAAATGAGTCTGTTCGAGAAACTTTATTAAGAGCCTTATTGAAATACCGAAATGTCAGATTTCCCTAGCTACCCTTTCAAATCCCAAGCCTTTAAATATCTGATGCCTGAACAACCTCTTTCATGCGGAGCCTCCCCGTATAGGCTTTTATAGAGAATAGCCACCACACCCCGTGGTTTAGGTGACCTTCATGATCAGTCAGACACTGCTGCTACGCCTTGGTTGTTTTGTCGCTGCAAGGTAAATAGCTTCCAAATCAAAAGACTGGAAAGGCTTTATGGCATTGTTGTTAAGCAAACACTTGGATGAAATGCTAAACAATGTATTAAAATGTACTGGTTTCCTTTTTCTTACAAAGATCGTTTATTCAAAGGAAAAACAACTACAGTAACATTTACATAGAAACCAAAAGTAAGGGCAACTGGCTTACTTAGTTTGAAGAGAAAGAGGAAAGGTTCTGTTTTCTCTCCAGTCTTTTGAACTAAAAAGTTCATTACCTTTTTGTTATAGCATATAGTTATTGTCACAGTACAGAGACCAACAAAAAAGTCACGAGAGGTTCGCACAAAGATCATTTTAAGGTTTTCGTAGCTGGAGGCAGAGGTTGAATCAAGCTCATTTTTATACCTAAGTAAGGAGAATCAACGTGAAGCTTGAAGAAGTTTTGAGTAAGAAACGTTGAACACCGCAATCCACTATCAAGATAGTGACTTTCTCCTCCGCTATTTCAGCGGGGACATAGTAAAATGAGGTTGCCAACGGCAAAAAATAATGAATTAGTATGAAATAGAAAAAGAAAACAAATAAATGTGAATTGAATAAATAAATTAATCTGCAAACAAAATATTGCAAACCGAAACAACAGATCTTCTCTCTGTACGAAGACAAAGTGAACAGTGAAAACCGAGCTAGCCAGAATGAGATCGTGACTCCTGGTTTCTGCAATTTGATTTGATCTTACACTGAAACATAATATTTTTTATCCCTCTTGCATAATATATGTGAAGTACCTTCTCTGTTCATTAGAGTTAATCGTATCAAATGACTTGATACAAAAATTGAAGCTGTTTGAGGTTTTCTTGCTCAATAGCAGGAAAAGAATATATTTTAACATCTTTAAAGCTCATGCGAACTACAAACTGCTCTTATGAGGTCCTTGACATCTTTCGTGTTACGTGAGAAGTATACTGAGCTAGAAGCGTTCTATATGAAAATATAATTAAAAAACTTACGCGATCCTTGTTCTCTCCGTACTCGTCCCAGGTGTGCCCTCTGATCTGCCATCAAGACATGGGCCATGCAAAAGAGAATTGAAATGTCCACTGCGATATTTCTCATGGCTCTAAAACACGACAAATGACAAATTTCTCCTGAAGTAAATGGACGGAAAGGCTCAGCGAGCTGTAACCGACAGTTTATATTTAATCAGTTGCTATTATCAGTTGGACAATACGGCTGAGCACTCATTGTGGCGTCAGTGCAGCATAAAATGATTCAATATCTCGGAGAGGTGGGTACTCCCATATTTAAGCTATGTATACAGCGTATATCTTGACTGCCTTATAGGTACATGCCTTGGGCAAGGACATGGCTTCCGTGGTGCTCAGTCCTGTTTTATAGGGTATTCTCTGAAGACATTTTGGTCCTTTTATACGTGTCGCAATTTGTATTAAATGAACTAAGCTGTCCAAATTTGTAATAATTCCATCGCACTTTGTAATAAAATTTTTGAGATTAATTCAACTTACTTGGTCATCATTAATATCTTCTCAAAAACATGAACGGTACCTCATAATCAAAGGTGATGAAGTCATCAAGCACGCAACCGTTACGAAAATCATTATATTTTTATGGACTAAAAAATAGAAATAGTAAAACTTTGGAAAAATAATACAAAGCGTTTCATCTTGACGCACCTTTGAACAGTAAGAACTACGGTGGCCCAGAAGGGTCACACATGCAAGAACGGTGTTCAAGGATTTTAGCAAACTTGATAGTTTGAAAAAACTGTCACCCTTTATGTTTTTTCCCAAACCGATATTGCAATACATTACTCATCTTCACTTCCGACTGATTTCGTAGTATTATTTGCTGAATGCTGTTTTCAAAATAATAAGAATAAGCAGAAAAAAAAACACCAGCTGTTGGTTATTTACCCAGCTTTTCAGAGCCTCAAACCGCTATGGTGCTCCTTAGATAGATTCCTGCTAACCCCTGGAAAATAGCAACACGGACACGATAATTTTTGTGAATCTGGTGAATGCTCCCACAATGAAAACGGAAATGAAAATACAAGCATGGTGACATGTCACAAAAAGTTGTCTTGACGAAGATTAAACTGAAAGTTTATTGCAAACGATGGAATTATTGGTTGCTTGTGATTGGTGGAACAGGAAATATGAGCATTAAATCACCGAAACGACTCCTATATGAAACAAAGCGCTTTACCATTTTTCTCGGCAAACGGCACTAAAATCAAAACTGAACAACACTCTCAGTGCACTGTGCTTCTCTGAAGAATCAAAATCTAAATTCTCGGTGATGACATCCCAACAAGTTTATTCTTGGAAAGCAGCAATTTTCACCTCACTCTCTCAAGGATATTGCTGACCTAGCGTGATTCCAGTCTTGTAGGTACATTTATCTGACTTGCGGTTGTACTATTTAACAATTATTATCATTCGATGCAATTTTTTTTCCTTTTCATTGGCCGAAAGCCCACCTGCAAATAACTGCCTACGAATAATAGTCTGCTCATGCGCAATGTCGTCCAACTGTGTTTGGCTGCGATCGCTCTTGCGTGATCAATATTATTTGCCTCAACCTTCGGATTCGGCAAATAATTGATCTGCTTGCCACTGACAATTCACGATATTTTGTTCAACCTCGTCCAATAACTGTTAAGTCTTTGAAATCGTGTATATACTAAAAGGAAACCTAAAGGAAATACTACGAATAAACCAAAAAGACAACACTAGGCACTCACGTTTAGAGAACGAAGTGTCCATTACGAGAAAGTTGGTCAATGTAACTCTTACCTCAAATTAAGGTGGCTGTCACAACCAAAACAAGGTGTATGTTTTGTGAGCGATTTATTTCGCTTGTCACCGCAGCTAAACTACTACGGTTCAAACTAAGCGAGCAGTAATACGAAAAGGAACTAATTAATATCAACAGAGCCAACCAAGGTAAAACTTAACCAATGAGAGACTTATTTCGTCGGCAACTGAGGAATCTTGATATGATTAAATGTACGTTGAAACTTGAAACCAAGCAAACACTAGCGTCAGAATAAAAAAGTTAATCTCGAATGTAATTCTCTTGAAGTAAGTTACTGAGTGCACAGTGGATCTCTAAACAAACAAGAGAAAACGGAAACGTCAAGCAACAATTAAACATTATTGTTTTAAGCTACTGAAAAAAAAAAACAAAAAAAACGGCTAATCCAAAACTGATTGTTAGAGTGCAATTTAAATCGCAGGCGGTTAACAGCAACAATGATAAGCTGCGATGCAGTATTGTCAAACTGAAAGATCGAGTTTGAACTTAATAAAAGACTATAAACAACAATATGAAAATGAGAAAAAAAGTGATTGTGATTGATATATAAATTAATTTGGTAACAAATATTTGAAAAATTGTTTAATATATATGCCTAAGGCAGTTGAAATTTAATATTACAGTTTCTCAGTGAAACTTGGCTTCCTCAAGAAAATGCGATTGTAAATAAAAAATTCGAGTTGTGATCTTATTATTTATACTACATTGAGCATTTCCTTAGATTAGGTATTTTTTAAAATTTCAATCAAGTTTCATGTTTCCTTTTATCATTAACATGTTTCTATAGAGTAAACTCCTGAAACATTTTAGCTTAAATTGTTATTTCCTGGTGCAAAACCTTTTTCCTATCCGATTTTCACTGAGCAAAGCAACTAATTGCAACACCACTGACATGAAACCACAGTCCGAGTTTTACCTTGACTTGACATATCATATATCCATATGGCTGGTGATTCGGAAAAGGCCTCCACGATTAGGGTCGCTAAAGCTCTTTTTGCTAATTGAAAATGACTATTCCTCTTTAGCTACCTTGAGTTATTGTTAGTTTTTTTTCCCACCTTTTAACAGAGAGGAAACGTACAGAATACAGTCTTGGGTCACATGCTTATCGTAAAAAAAGAAAACGAAGATACACCGACCGGGCTCGCGGGATCTAACCGAGGTGAAAGAGAGGACATTTACGTCTGTGTTGAAAGGCAGTTGGAACTGAAATTATCAAGAAAAAGGTTAACTTAAGAATTATGCTGCTGAATATAACCGCATACTTTTCTTATGGTCACCACAATGATTAGTGTTTAATTTCCCTCGGCTGTTAAGCTTTTTGAAGTGGGAAGAATTTCATAAGGGGTGGGGTACTTCTGCCTTAGTATGAGATTCAAAATAAGATGGAGCCCGCTTCCAAGGGTGTGGCCTCTTGGTATGAAAATGTTATCAATTTAACCTTCCGGTGTGAAAACAGAAGCAAAGTTATTTGGAATGAACCGGGTCTGAATTTCTTTGGATAAGGTCTTTGGAGTAAGGGCTTCGTCTATTTAAGTCCGAATATCGTGGCGATATCACATATTTTGCATAGCTTCACGATAACTGATATTTAATCGCGATGACGAAGGACTTTATTAACATTCAAATCCGAAGTTACAAAACAGACTTCCAAGCGTCTCGAAGACAGGACAAAAGGGATCTTTAGCAATGACGACGGCTACGGCTTAATTAATAAGAGTGAATTCGCGTTTTATCAGACTTTGTCGCGTTTATTCCAATTCACTAAAATAGTCAAATAGAGGTGAGTTTTCCCGAAGTTGAATTCTTGGGCCCTGCACCCCAACTTCAGAAAGAGAAAGAAAACTGAATTATAATTTGAACTGAATTTGGAACTGAATTATTGTTTATTATTTGTGTGTTTACATCCTCCAAAAAAACGTCGCATAAGGACATTTCACGTCGTGGTCGTGCAGGAACGGCAAGGAAACATACCAAAGGTGTGCTGCACATGCAAAATTGTTGTTTACTTATTAAACCTATTGCCTTTTTGAAGTTCTCGTCGCCGTCGCCCTCGTCACCTCTTAAGCTCCCTAAATATAATCCTTTGTCATAAACAGTGGTAAAAGCCTTTTAGTACTTCCTCTTTTTCGTGTGTGGCAGCTGTGGTCCAAAGTCGGCAAATCCTCTACTGAACGAGTGTTCAATTTCCTGAGCAACTGGCCGTTTCTCTCCACCCTGATAATCAGATGGTCTTTTACTATAGTTCCGGTTCCGGTGTTCCGGAAATGTTGGCATCATATCCGGTTCAACCGGAAGTGGCTTCTCAACAAAATAAGAGTTCTCCAGACAGTCAGCTGCCGAGGCCCGTTTACACGGGTCGTACATCAGCAAGTGATTTATAAGGGTTAGTCCCGCGGGACTTAACCACGAGAATTTGTGTTTAAGGTTATTGTATGGCTGTCGTTTGAAGTTCATAGATTTGGCCCCGGGCAGTTTCGAAAATCCTGGCCACAGCTGGTCACTGGGAGTTCCTAGTAAGTCTACAATCAATTGAAACTGGTTGATCTCCGATTTTCCAGTCATCAGTGGCTTGTTACCGAGCAGTTCGCCAAATATGCAGCCAACAGCCCACATGTCTACAGCTGTAGTTTGTACTTTGGATCCTAGCAGGAGTTCCGGTGCACGGTACCACAGGGTTACCACTACAGGTGTCATGGGTTTGTACGGATAACCAAAAGCACGAGCCAGACCAAAATCAGCTGATATATATAAAAAACAAAACAAATCAGTTCTCTTTCAATGTTTTTCCAATGCTGTGCTCTAAGGAAAATTGAGTGGAGCCCAGTACTCTATACCAGTGAAATCCAGGGTGGCAGCATATGATTTGTATGAAAAGATGAAGATTTTCTAGTCGCCCAAGAGCAAAAGTTGGGTGCTAGGGGCCACCAGGCTCTGCTAAAGCACAGCCCTGATTGTCTTGTATACCTTTACTGCGGCTGTCAGTTTTTTTTAAATACTAACAAATCCATGTATTTTTGTGGACACATACCGAAAGGTTAAACTTTCAACAATCAATTATTATTTTATTGTTCCATCCTCTTACCCCACCTCCTTCTTTTGCCCTAACACCTACCCCCAAGGGTTGCTATTTCTATTCTTTCCAATATTCATTGATAAAATTAAAGATGGCAGCCATTTCACTACCAACATAACCAAGACGTTTTCATTTACCTAAATAATGTGCCTGCATAACATTACAGGCTATATGCTGGGTGGCTTTTTAAAAATATGCAAAAAATGCAACTTTTAGCACAATAATTATTTTAATCTGGCCTAAAATTGCCTCAAAATAAAATATTATTATGACAAACCACCATTATGGTGATCTGTTTGTTTCTTCAGGGTGATATTTTACTGCACCAGCTTGGTCATGGATTGTCTTTTGTGGGGCGTTTCAAATTATACCAATTGAATTTCCAAATTAGGTGCTAAGATTGATCTAGTGTAGAGTATAAACATAGCATTATAAGGAGCCAATAGCCAGCAGCATTAGGCCTGTCATTGTCACACTGCTGTTAAAAAGAGTAGGGTGTGGTCAACCTCTACCGCTATGATAATAACCTCACACATTATACATATCATAGGCTGGCTGGGTTACTGTAAGCATATATAAATCAACAGACCTATAGTAACCGCTAGTTAGTGTCTTGATTGTATGCTGACATTTAAGCTTACTCTTGCTGTTAACCAATAATATCAAGCTCTAGGACATGTTGTCCTAGAGCTCAATCACAACATTACATTACAATTATTATACAACAAAATCTTTCAATTTGGAAGACATAATACGCATGTAACTTGAGTCTGGGAATGAAATTCTTTGGTGTGATCATTCAAATAAAACCTCTTGGGTAGTACATTCACATGGCAGCATTTTCTACTCAATAATTTAGAAAATATAATTTGGCATCTATCTTGAGTTCTTAGGAAAAATATTGAGTGAGCAAACAATAATAGTGCATAAGAAAAGTCTCCTCCATCGACTTACCAATTTTAAGCATTCCTTTCCCAGTTAGCAAAAGATTGGACACTTTCAAATCTCGATGCACAATGAACCGGTCATGCAGATACTTAACTCCATGAAAAAGTTGCAACATTAGACATTTGATTTCTGCTTCTTTGAACGGCAAGGACATGTTATCCAACAAGCTAGCTAAATCCTGCTCACAGTACTCCATAACAAGGAATATACTATCCAGGTGTCTTCCCACAACTACTTCTTTAAGCTGTACAATGTTCTTGTGGCCCAGATTCAGCAACAGACTTATCTCACGCAAACCACTGAGTGGTATTCCATCCTTTTCCCTCTCCATGCGCACTTTTTTCAGTGCAACTATTTCATGAGAGACAGTATCTCGAGCTCTGTACACCACACCATATGTTCCTTCTCCAATTCGATTGAGCTTTTCAAACTCAGTGACTGGTCTACACCGCCCATAGCAGTGCTCATCTGGCATCACCTTCTTTTCAAAAGTTTCAATAGATGTTAAGATACCTTGGGGTTCACTTTGATCTTTTTGCATATTTCTGTAAAAGACAAGAAGTTCAAAATACATTGACTT